TTATTTATAATATAAAGATCATAAGGACTTCAAAAATCTAAAGAAAAAAGTAATATTAGAGTAGAATAAAACCACTTAAATCAAATAGATAAAGACTAACAAAGCTTATATTGCAAAAATTTCTTATTTTAGTAAGATATTCTCTATCGCAAAAGGTAACCTTAAAGTTGATATAATTGGCATGAAAGAAGTTTGGACCGCTCCTTGTTTGCTGCTTCAACATCATCTGGTGATAATATCTCATTATTTTTAATCATCTCCATGTCGTTTCAAAATTTCTTGAAATCAATATATATATAAAGTTGAATATAGAGAAGGTGATGTGACACCTCTCTATGGCCAGCATTCTTATTATTTTTTTTTGCATTTTTAATTCATAATTTATTAATTAAATAGATTTTAAAAGCCTAACAAAACATAATATGATAACTAACTGTAATGCCAATAACTAACATTAATGCTAACAGTAAGTCCACCTAATAGCAACTTCTAATAAAGCCCACGTAATAGCAGTTTCTAAAAAAGCCCAAATAATTGCTTCATCCCACGTACTACACTACCAAATAATGCTAATTAATAATCAGACCTTTGGCTTTTCAATTTCCCCAACTTTAGAGTTTTTGTGTAAATACTAAAAAGTGTTAGAGAATATACAGATTCCTCCAGTTTGATGTTCAGGAAATTTGCACAAGTATTGGGGTGATATTTTAGACCACCTTTTTTATCACAAACAATGTTGATAAAAATGTTTGTGACACACCTCTAAGCAAGCAGAAAAAGTCAAGAAATGTAAGTAACAATTCATTTTAATTTTCTTTTTACATATTTTGATGATGACTTGCTATTATTTTTAGTATATTTTCTTCTCATTTGTTTGAGCCAAATATGACTACAATTCAATTTTCTTGAGAAATCAGAATGGGCATACATAAACTTTAATAGCTTTCGACTTCGGTGCCTCCAAGTGAAGATATTTTGATACGGTATGTCACAAATTTATTTGAGCATGATATTTTACTTTTTACAGATATGTGTTATAAAATTTCATGAAATACAATTGATTTTGCAATCAATTTTGGATATATATATATATATATATATATATATAGAGAGAGAGAGAGAGAGAGAGCGCCTAGAACACCATCTATTTTTTTTCTCATTTTTCGGACAAAGTATAAATTGTCTTTTAGTTTTTCAAACTGGACAAGTACTATTATTGGACAATTATTTTTAGTATAATGAACGAGTAAAATAGACACAACGAGTAATAATATTATTATTATTGTCTTTTTGATTATTTAATTAGATCATCAGTACTTATAATCTATTGATATTCCCCACTAAAATAAAACGTTTAAATTAACTTATAGTTCTCCTAAGCTTAAATTTCCACAGCGTCTCACCCATTACTATTTGACATTTGCAACAGCGGGCATTATAGCCAAGACTATGAGAAAAAGGATCAACCTCATAGGTGTCGAATAAAATCGGCTATAGCTTTATGCAAATACATCGTGGTGATGGAACTATTGAGCAAATTTTGATTTAGGCCTTTTATTGTTGTGTCCTTATAGTTATTTTTGTTTATTTTACTTTTTTATTTAATATGAAAATGCACGTGAAGTTTTTGTTCAATTTTGAAATTACAATTTTTTTTTATGTTTCAGATAGTCTTTTAGAAGAAAAATAAAAGGTGACTTTAGTTTGTGGAAGCAATAATCTTGACTATTTTTTTTTAATATATTCGAAATAAATTAAAGTGTATATTAATAACGTATTTTATGACCGCGCAAAGCACGGTGAAGTTTACTAGTTAATAATGAGCCTTGATGATAACAATATCTCTTCATGTTTCATTTGTACTTTTTCATCTGCTAATCACACTTAACATGAGTAAATGTTGTAGTACTAAACTATTGTATGCATATATATAACAAAATCACATAATATGCATAAATTCAAGTATAATGATAACAATATATCAGGGTTTTTTTTAAAGCAGTGAAATTCAACTGATTTAGGAGGGTTAAAAAAGAACATTGTAATTAAATTTACCTTTCTTTCAATCGCTAGATAAAAAGAATCCACCTCAATCACAACTATGTGATATAGGATGTGTGAATAATGGAGGAATATTAATTTATTTAGCTTCTGTGGTTAATTATCTTCATGCATTATGGGGAAATGGAAGAGTTATTAAATATAAATGTGATTGTCCTTTTGTATCCATACCAAGAATGTGCAGTAACTTTAATGAATCACTTGTATAGTAAATTTACATTTGTGTACAATAATATTAAGAAATTATTGACGGACTTGAGGTGAAGTATATATTATAATTAATGTGTATATATATATTTTTGTCCATAAATATATAATAATAGTATTTAAAGAAAATGATTGTATTTATTATAATTAATTAATGTGTATTTACATTTTTGTCCATAATATTATGACTTTATAGGGACATTTTCGTAATTCAACTTTTAACTTGGAAGCTTCCCACTTATATTATAATAGTATAGTATAGTATAGTATAGAGAGAGAGAGAATTCTCTGTACATAAAATTAGATGTTGGTTTAGTGATTTAGGAAGCTCAAAAATTTTCATTTTGAGGTTGTACTGTCAAATTTTACACATTATATTTTATTTTTTGAACCCCTGTTATTTGCATATTATTTTTATTAGATTTTTGTATATTTTCTTTGTAACTGCTTATATGGGGAATATTTTAGGTACTTTTTAAAAATATTCTACCATTTAGAGAAAATATCCCAAATAGAATAGCTTTGGTGGCTTAGACAAATCTATTGTGCTGTTGATGTTGTGGGTTCATGTATCATCATTCTACATTAGCAGTTTGGGTTTGATTTCAGTGAAAAATCAACAAAAAAACAACAACTCAACTTTGACTTTCACGGCTAGTTTGGTACGAGGGATAATAACTAATTCCGAAATTATTTTTAGAATGAGTTATTCATGATTAATTGAGTTAAAATCATCAAATAACTTATTTTGAAATTGGACAATCCCAAAATAAATAATCTCGGAATAACTTATTCTCTGACCAAATGAGTTGTTAACAGATAGCTACTCCCTCCGTCCCTTTTTAGTTGTCCACTTTAGAAATGGCACACAGATTAAGGCAACAATGATTAGCACAGTGAAGTTACAATTTTACCCTTATGACAACTTTTCACTTCAAAATTACAACCACTTATTTGAATTCAAGTGAAATAAATTGGAGGGAAACAACATACACTTTTACAATTTTCAAGAAGTGTAAATAAGGGTATAATAGGAAAAAATTTGTTGTCCTTTCTTGATTTGTCAAAATGGACAACTAAATAGGGACAACCAAAAAAGGAAATATGGACAAGTAAATAGGGACGGAGGGAGTAGTAGCCAAGCACCAAATGCGTGTGCTGGTTATATACATATTGCTTGTTGAAAAAACAAAATAAAATACATGTTGCTTTCAGTTTTGTTTGTTTGTTTTTAATTGAGAAGAGGTTGAGGTAATTTTATTTATTTTTTTCGTTTCATTTTATGCGAAGATATTTAATTATACGCAATTCTAAGAAAATGACTTTTTATGACATTTCTATACTTTTAAGAATCTAAACGGGAGAAAATGACCATACATTAATATGATCTCGTTGTATCATTTTAAGATATTTTACGTATAAAAATAAAAATATTTTTAAATATTTGACATAAAATTACAAAATCAGTTCAATATATATATGTCAAATTCTGAAAAAGTGAATTGTAAAAGAAAAACAGAAAAGTATATCTTTATTAAGTTTAAAATGACGTATAATACTTATCGACCAAACAAGAGAGAAAATCAAAAAGAGCATGAATGACAATTTTTTACATTGATTCAAATAGAAAAGTACGTCACCATTTATAAATAACTAAAAAAATATATGTTTTTTTTTTCATAAATACTAAACTAAAAGAAAATTAAATAATCTACAATCAATATACAATCTAAAGAGAAAAATAAACATTTTAAAATATAAACTAAAATAAATAAATATTTTTATCACTGTATAAAATATTCAATAATAATTTTAAAAATAATAATTAAACTCATTGAATTATTTTCTAAATCCGCCTCATAATTAGCTCAAAGCCACCAACCTTGAGCAATATTGTAGTAGGTGCTGATTGATGACTGAAAAGGTCAAACCAACAACCATTTTTGCCATTTCCCATCATAAAATATTACTCATTTTAGGCACAATGAGTCATACCAATACCTACCATAAATCAAAGGTTTATTCGTTTCAATTTACGTGACATTTTCTTTGATCTAAAATAATTTTTAAAAAATATATTTTTAAAATTTTAACATAATTTCTAAATTTACAATTAAAATTAAATTATTTGACTCCCGAACCCTACTTTTGTCATCCCTTTGACAGATCCTAGTCAGTATGAGCCTTGCTTTTCGTATCGCCATTAGTCTCCATCTATCATTTAAAGTCTTTAACTTACTTTTTGAAGACTTGAGATGTAGTTCAGATTCTAGAAATGTAATAGATGTTCTTTATATTTATGCTACCAGGTTTTGGAATATTCCTTGTTGTTTTTCTATCGTATGTGACCTGATTTTCCTTCGGGAGTCTCGTATGTGTGATTCTTTCAGCTTACACATCATTTTGGGATACTCGGGATGTGTGTCATCATGACCTCGACTTTTGAATCATGACTAATTGGTATCAGCTAATCTGACAAGGGTACGAGGTTTATTCCTTATTTTATTTTTTTAATAGTTTCCCATCCAATGTCCGAAATCCACATTAAAGTCCCGACTAAATCTAAATCACGCACTATAGAGTAGCTTCTCAAACCCAAAACATTGAATTAAGGTTGAGTCAATCCCACCGCAACACCACAACGAGGGTTGGTTTGTTTCTTCTTTGTTTTGCTGCTACGTGCAAGTTTGAAAGAGATGCTTATTTTAGAGACCGTCCATTTGTCATATTCCCCTATTGTTTTTCTTTAACTTCGGCCCTGCCGCCTGTATTTTTATTTAGGTTATAAAGATTCCCACTTTCATGCAGATCCCCATTTTAGTCACTTTAGCCGCTGCAGCCATCTTTTTTTGCTCTGCTCAGATCACTTGATGTGCAGCCCCTGAACACATCTCTTCATAAAAGGTAACCCCTTTTCCTTTTCTTGATTTATTGTTAACTCTGTTGCATCTTTTTTGTTGTGTGTGTATGTATTTATATATATTATTTGTGTCAAAGAAAGAGTCTTTCTTGATCTTTTAGTGAATCTGAATCTTTGTTTGTTGATGGGATGAATAATATAGCCATTACTTTCTATTTTCTCATTTTATTAGGTTGGTTGGTAGAAAATGGTGGCGATGTCTCAGCTTCGTTGTTCTCCTCTTACGGGTTACTATCAGAATCATAATCAAAGTCGTGATCTTTCTGGTGTTTCAGCCAGATTTTGTGATAATAGGGTTTGTTTTAACCCTTTGAAAACTGGGTATATTGTGTCTAAACAAGTGGATCACCTGAGGTATCAAGTTCCTTGTGTTGGTGGAGGTGATGGAGGAAGTATTGGGATTGGAAGGGGTAGTGGGGGTGGTGGGGGTGGGGGTAGTGGTGATTGGAGTAAAGGTGGAGATTCAGATGATTCAAAGTCTTCTTGGGATAGTATTGGACCAATTGGTGCTTTTGTTAATGGCTGGAGATCAAGGGTGGCTGCAGATCCACAGTTTCCTTTTAAGGTTCTTATGGAGGAATTGGTTGGTGTTAGTGCTAATGTTCTTGGAGATATGGCATCAAGGCCTAATTTTGGGCTTAATGAATTAGATTTTGTGTTTTCGACACTTGTTGTTGGTTCAATTATGAATTTTGTGTTGATGTATCTGTTGGCACCAACGGCATCTGCTTCGATCCAAACTCTCCCTTTGATGTTCGCCAGTTGTCCACCGAGCCACATGTTTCAGTCTGGTTCTTACGGTTTATTGAGTAGGCTTGGTACATTTGTGTACAAAGGAACTCAGTTTGCTGCAGTTGGATTTGCAGCAGGGCTTGTTGGGACTGCATTATCTAATGGTTTAATCAAGTTGAGGAAGAAGATGGATCCGAATTTCGAAACACCAAACAAGCCACCTCCTACACTTTTGAATGCAGCAACTTGGGCAATACACATGGGTCTCAGTAGTAATTTAAGATATCAAACACTTAACGGTGTTGAGTTTGTGCTAGCTAAAGGTCTTCCTCCTTTGGTATTTAAGACCTCGGTTATTGCTTTGAGATGCGCAAATAACATTCTTGGGGGAATGACATTCGTCATGTTAGCAAAGTTCACAGGATCACAGAAAGCAGATAAACCAGATGAAGGAAAGGTTGTTCGTGTTGAAGACACACTAGTTGGAGAGAAAGAGAGGTTGCTGGACCAGAATGACAGTATGCATACTGCTGATGCTGCTTCAAAGTGATTATCAATATTTGTTTCAAATACACACCAATCCAAAACCGGCTCCCTCCCTCCCTCCCGGTAGAGCCATTTTACCCGCTGCTCTCTTACTATGATCTATAAATAAAAATGAACTTTGCTGTCTTTTTAGTCCAAGAAATAGTCTTCTGACTTCTTGTAGGAGCTTGGAGTGTGTCAACCATGTCTAACTTTGGTTCCATAGAACAAAACATGAGTTTCCTCATATTGATTTGAGGATTTGTTTTCTGTTCCTTTGTGTGGTTTACGATGACATGTTATGTGATCTAAAGCTAACATTACTTCAAAACTACGAGTTTTGCCTGTTTTGTTGTACGACTCTCATTGTAGCCATAGCTTAGATAATATTTCTATTTCTGGTAATGATGTTGGATTACAAGAGGGTTCATCATTTATATAGATAAAAAGATCGACCTTTTATATATACAGTGTGATTTTCTGGCGATGAACCCCCTTCCGCCCCTTTAGCTCTGCCATTGTCTGTTTGTTGTCAGTTGTTTTGAGGAATTGGTTGGTGCAACTCCTTGCAAACAAATAGCAGTACCTATCTCAGAGTCCATTTTGTAGCAAAGTTTTGGATTTTGATAGCATACACATACTGTCAGAACTCAGAAGGCTATGATAAAGAGGTTTTTGTTAACAAATCCTTGAAATATACATATATAAAACAGAAGCTAAATGGTACAACTCTCTATTCTACATGCTATTTTTTCTAGTACAAAACATGAGCAACTATTGTCTATTCTGTTAGCGAGGCATAGTAAGACTGACACCACTGATACTGTAAGCTCCCGATACATTGGAGGACGATAAAAACGCGTCCTTGCTAGTGCAATCAGAAAATGAAGACGATGTCTTTGGTTCGTTAAATTTTGCTTTAGAATCTACTGAATCAGTGTCAATATCTGGCATCAGATTGAGGATAGACTGAATAGTTTCCAGCTCCCTGACCACATCCAACATTGAAGGTCTGTCTTCTGGTTTGTCTTCGCAACACTTGAGGGCCAAAGCTACAAACTTTTCCACACATTCAGAAGGATAAGATCCCATTGTACTGTCCATAACTGAGAACATCTTCTCAGAGCCATGAGCCAAATTTACCTGCCATTGATGGTACAAGGGACTATTAAACACGGTGGAGCTAGATTCGAGGTGTGAAGCTTCATAGCAGAAATGCAAGGAAAGATTGCGTAAAAATTATGTTCACATTTCCCCTAGCCCTTCTCAGCCCAGAGGAGGATGCACCATAAAAATAACATACATATGTAAAATCACTAAAATGTATCCATAAAATATAAATTCTAAAAGCGTCATTTTGTGCGACATGTAGTGTGTTCAATGGTAAGAACTAAGAGCATTACAAGTTTAATTCATGAATCTGCCTCTATTCCTACCCTTGCATCAGTCAGCAGTATTTCACTTTGTGTGCGGATAAATCATCTATCAAACATATGCACACGATAAGACATGGAAATCGGGAAGTTAACAATGAGAGTAATACCTCGCGGACAATGTTTTTTCCATGTGAGATGGGACGCATTCCGGTTAAGATTTCTAGAAACACAACCCCAAGGCTATAAACATCACTTTTATCTGTCAATTTACGGGTCAAGAAGTATTCGGGATCTAGATAACCCTGCATATACAAGTAGAGTCTCAATGCATCAAATTTAAATGATACGAGTGAGGTCAAATAGAACATAATGATGTAGTGAAGGACTTACAGGTGTTCCCTTCACAATAGTTGAAACATGGTTAGGTAGTACACCTTCATCATCCTGAACAGGTGCAAGCCTAGATAATCCGAAATCAGCAACTTTAGCTGCCATTTTTGAGTCAAGAAGAATATTGCTGGCTTTGATGTCCCTATGGAATATTGGTGGATGAGCTTCTGTATGGAGGTAAAGAATGCCCTTTGCTGCACCTAGTACAATCTCCAATCTTGTAGCAAACGACAAGGTTCCTTTACAATTAGCTGTCAAAAAATGATATCAAGTGTTACAACTACAAAAACATACCTAGTGTAGTCCCACAAAGTGGTGTCTGGGGAGGGTAGAGTGTACACCTTGCCCCTACCTTAGAGGTAGAGAGGCTGTTTCTGATAGATCCTCGGCTCAAGGGAAAAATAGTCCAAAGCAGTCCAGAAAAAGAAGTAACAGAAGTACAAGAAACAACACATAGTAACAAAAACAGCAGATAGTAACGGAGCAGTAACTACAACAAGATAATCTAGATTAGGTGATATCCATATAGACATACAGTTATTAGATCAAAGTTTGCTTCTTGACATCTGATCTCCATCTATAGACTTAAAAAACAATGTTTAAGAGCATATATTACCAGTCTACTGTACCAGTTCAAAGATACTGCTACTATTTGCTTAAGGAACATAGAAAGGTGGCCTAGTGGTGGTAGATTTGGAGTAATAAACTTGGTAATTAAAGTTGGAACGCCAACAGAGGTGATCCATCTTCCTAAACCTTGAAGGATGGAGTTATCTGATATTTGTGCTAGTGGGAGGTAGCACGTATTTAATAGATTAGTCAAAGCGCAAGCAAGCCAGCTTACACAACACAATTATCAGAATAATGATAAATATCAAATTCCTCTCCTGGCTCAATAGCTTCCCTAACCAAAAATAAAGCAGAGGAAGATGATGGATCAGAATAAACCAGGGAACAGTTTCTTTACCAGAAAGCCAGTTTCGCAAAGTTCCATTGCACATGAATTCATAAACCAACATCTGCAAATACATAAACAGGAAACACACTAATTGCTTCACATAGATGATATACCAAAGAGATGTCAGAACGAATGACAAGAGATTGCTACGGAGCAAAAAAAGAAGCTATAGCATACAATGTGAGCCTGAACTACTCATATAGCCGAGGAAAGGATCAACATGATGAATTCCATGTTAATGAGTGGATTCAAAAAGATTTGGAATTTTGAAGTTTTGAGGTTTATCATACCTGTTCTCCTTCTTCATCACAATACCCTAGCAATGAAACTAGATTCCGGTGATGTACCCTTGATAACAAAGATATCTCAGTCAAAAATTCTTTTTGCCCTTGTACTGATCCTTCTTTTGCTCGTTTGATAGCAACAACTGTTTTGTCAGCTAAAATTCCCTTAAAGACAGCCCCATATCCTCCTTCACCAACTTGATTTGAGTGATCAAAGTTGTTAGTGGCCAAGGTCATTTCTCTGAAAGTGAAGCTTCTAAGGCCATCCAATTTTATAGAGAGCTTTGCGGCTGGCATTATGAAATTAAACATTTTATGCTAGTCAATTTTGCGGGAAGAATTGAAAGAAACATATTCTTATGAAGTAAAGGTAGCTTATAACCAAAATGAGATAACTTACATAGCCGTTTCCTTGATAGGAGACTTTGGTATTTGGCATGTCGTTTTTTTATTAACACAGTTAAAATTGCTGAAACAAATGCAGCAAAAACACCTGATACAACGATAGCTATGATAGCACCTTTGTTTTTATGTTTAGCTTGAATATCAGGATTCACTGCAGAAAAACATGCATCATATGATAAACCAAAATTCTGAGGAAGGAAGATACTAATCATGATAACAAAGATCAACCATGAAGCACAATGAAGCGCTGAGAACTTACAGTAGGAATAAGGTCCCTCCAGAGTGAAACTAAGGAGCTCATAAGGTCCAAAAAGGTCAACTACAGATATTTCCCAATATTGCAGAATGTCGCTGATACGAATGACCTCACTTTTATTAAATGTACTGACCCCAACTACTGGGAAAAGCTTCAATTGCATTCGTAGACGAGGTCCTTCTTCCCAAGAATTTGACTCAATCAACATTTGGTAAAGGTCCAAATGAAGATCTCTAGTCATATACTGCTCAAATTGATGCACATATGGATCAAAGTAAGAAAAACTTGGACTTTTCAGCCGCCAGCCAACTATGAGAGGTGAGGCACAAGTGCAGGGAACAGGTGAGTTTGGAACATATTCATAATAGTTATCCTTTGGGCATGCAACAATAGGACAAGCACCAGTTACAATCACTGAGTTATTCGTCTTATGTTCTGCTCCGGCTTCAGAGCCGCAGAACTTGACGATGTTTCTTACATTCTCATTTCTGCAGACAGGATTGCCCTGCAACCTGAAAATAATGTCTTTTATTATTGAAAATGTGGATATGAAGTGATAGTCAGATCATAAAATTAGTAATTCAATGGCTTCTCTTAGGTTTTGTCGTTGAATATGGAAAGAAAAACCTTACCTTAGAGTGACATTCAGAGGAGGTTCAAGAGTACCGGAAATGTCCGAAAGTGAATTATTCCGAAGATCACTAGTTTTGCAAAGAAGATAGAAGGGTTAAAAAGACTCCCAGACTTCTGTGTAAATGATAGTACATTTCATATCAGATATTTGATGTTACAATTTAGCTTCAGGTCTTACATCAACAGCGACGACGTTGAAGTAAACTTGTTTTGCCAAATGTCGGTAGAAAAGGAACCATTCAAAAGGTTGTTATCCATTGTCCTGTGACAAGTCCGTCAAATCAATTTGTTATATACGAAATTGAGCTTTGAAATGTTAAAGAAACAGTACTAAAGAGAATGTATTACAAGACACAGTGAAGATCCTCACAGTTTCTGCAACAAAGGAAGAGATGAAAAACTCTCCGGAATAGATCCGTCAAGACGATTGTGTGACAGAATACTGCATGAGAATGTACAACAACACATTAGATTAGGGAAAATGACAGGAAAAACACAGAGAAATGTGCAATCATGATAAAAATTATGTTTAACTTGTGTTATGGATGTAGGGCCTAACTCAACCCCAAAGGCTAGCTCTTTAGTAATGTTTCTTAAAGGGCTGATGTAGAACTCTTCACAACATGAGATAATGAACTAACACAAAATATGGCTGAACTAAGATGCTAGATATATGAAGAAATCTGTAGCATGAAATAGAAAGCATACATAGAAGTCATATTGTTGGAAAGCTTATTTGGTAGAGATCCAGACAGTTGATTCCAGCTGAGATCACTGCACAAACAGTAAGCAAGAAGTGTTAACATTTTAGAAAATCTTATAATCATGTTGCATGAAGTAAAAAGGTCACAAATCAACGGGAACAGAAGAAACAATTTCAAAACTTGAACTTACAGATAGTGTAGACTCGGTACTCTGCTAAGGTCAGGAATGGATCCTCGCAACGTGCAATTTCTGAGACTACTGCAATATTATCAGAAGCATTGAATCTCCATTTGATTAGGTGACAGTACGATTCAACTATTACATCTTATTCTATCTACCCGAACCGTCAT